TTAGTTTTTATTTTTTTTTGGTTTTTTTTTTTTTTTTTTGGTTTTTGCTGACGATTTGTATGTAGCAGTTTTCTGTCATTTCTATTATATTATATATTATATTATATTATATTATGAATAAAAAAATCCTAAAAATATAAATTATACATCAAATGAAAACTTATTCTATAAGCTTTCTTTGTTTTTAGAAACATTTTTCTGTATAATTTACAGAAAGTTCCCAAAAATCCACCAGAACGACGTACCTGTATACTCAAAAAACACAAAAAACCTAGTTACACTGCAAAAGAATCCGATATTCAAGGGTTTGCACTACAAAAGAATCAGGTATCCAGAGGGTTAATGATTAGAACAGTTCTACAAAAATATATTTGCTAATTTTTTAAGGATTTTTACATTAAATGGTAAAATGATTTTTTATTTTGCTTGTTTAATGTTGTTGAAAGATAGGCCTAGTTTGATTCAATTCACTGTTGGAAATTCTGGTTTGGTTTTTGTAGAATATTGTTACATCTACCTTCTTTATGGATGCCGAAACAAATGAAATGAATATGAACAAACTTCAGACCAAGCTCTTTGAGTCAGCTTGGCCAAGTTAAGCTACTGTATGCTGCCGGATGAAATAAAGAATTTGTATCCTAGGCAGCTGTGTACAGTATTGTTATAAAAATACAGATCCTTAAACCTTTGTATTCTAGTTTTATCTTTTTTTTTGTTAAATTAATAACTCTTATTATATTGTAATTTCTCTGCTATTGTATATGATAACAGTTTATGATAATTATTTTAATCACAATTTCAATGATTGCTGAATCCATGAATAATGGTTTTTGTAATGTCAACTTGTGAATACAATGAATAATTATTAGTATCGATAGTGGTGGTTGTACTGTAGTATAGACAAATCCAAATGAGAAATGTGCTCTCCATTGCCATTTCCACCATTGCTGTGGACCTCCTTAGGTTTTAAGGCCAACTCAGACAGCGTCGGCCGACGCAGCCCGACCCAATTTACCGTCGGGGACAGTTCTAAGCCGTCGTGAGAAATATTAAACATGTTTAATATTCTACAACGCGACTGCCCCCGACGCAAACCACCGTATCTGCGTTTAACTCACACAGGCCCGACGCGACAGCAAATCGCGTCGGGCTGCGTCATACGACGTTGTCTATGTTGGCCTTTACACTCTAAAATTATGAGCGACACTTACTGTATTCCCCGAAATTTGGGAAGACTTCATCACTCTTGCATTCATAATATTTGCGTGTTTTCTCTGCATTTTCGTCAACATTCAAACTGAAGTCAGTGCTGATAGGTGTCACTATGTGCAGCAAACTGAAATTAGATATGTTATAAAAGCTCATTTAACCAGATTCCTGGAAGTGAATTCCAACTTGGGACCCCTACTTTTGGCGTGTCAATGAATATTGATTCGGGCTTTTAAATATTAAGTGAGGGGTGCTACCGTGGAAATTAAGGTGATGTGAATAATTAATTAGCTATAGTAGGGACGGACCACTTGGGAATATTTGTTTATATTTTGTTGAGTGGTTTTTTGGTTTTTTTTCAGTGCAAAATTTTTTTGGGGATGAAAGGTCAAATTTCAAGGTCACAGAAAGTCGAAAACACACTAATAATGGACTAGTTGAATAATGTATTATTTGATTTTATTAATGATTGATTTGATTGATTGAATATTGATTGAATATCAATTGAGTTAAATTGATTTCAAGATTGCAATATTGATATAAAATGCTTTATTGTATTTTTCAGTTGTCTCACCACCTTATTGTATATACATGGGTTTGGATAAACATGAAAGTAAGTATATCATGGTGATGGTATTTGATCATTAAATAATATTTTAAGTTGATAAATTGTTTATGACATTGATTGTAATGTTGCAATAGGCACTTTGGGCAAAAATATATGTAAGTGTTTTAATCAAAATAGTTAAAATTTATTTTTTAAATAAATCTGATTTTATTTAATGCTATATTTTGCAGATGAAGAATTGATAAAATATGGATTTCCAGAGGATATATGGTGAGTTGATAATAAAAATAGATTAATATGTGAAGTTATTTAATTCATCTTACCATCGTTGTCAGATCCTCTGTAACACCACTCGCCATCAACCTCACCACCTTAATAGGTTTTGCAATCAGGCTTAAGGTAGACCAGATATAGGCAGAGAAGCCAATTTCAAATCCAGATGTCACAGATGTCCTCATCTTTATTACAATTTCAGGACTACTGCAAGATGGTTGAGTTTATATCTTTTTATAAATATATTTCAATATGTAGAGTAGCAGATAGCCATATAGGCTAGGCCCAGCTAATTTTATTATGAAAATCTCATCTGCTATCTACAGTGTAATGGTTGCTCTCATGCAAGCCTTTATGTAAATAAAGTGAATAACTGCCTAAAGAGGAATAGAACCATAACTACAGTATTTTAAAACACTGTATGACCTATTACATTTTTGAAAACCAAAGAATTGCTTGAACGCTTGACTGTTAAGATGGAATGCCATAAATAAAGATGAGGGAAAGAAGTAAAAATATCAGAATGACAATTAAGATGTAAAAGTTTGTTAAGAGAGGGCTCCCAATAGTTGTTAAGCGTTACACATTCAATGAGATATGCCTTTCTTAACAAACTACTTTTATGTTTAACTTTAACTTCATATATACTGGTATTTAAAATAGTAATAATAATGATAATAATTTATATTAATGTACCTGAAACTGATTTGTCTCTGCAACAATATTCATAGGTTTCATGTTGATAAACTATCATCAGCTCATGTTTACCTGCGACTTCCCAAGAACCAAACGATTGATGACATTCCTGCTGCTGTGCTAGAAGATTGCGCTCAACTCGTCAAAGCTAACAGTATTCAAGGTAAGTTCTCAAACCTATAAAGAAATATAAAGGAAACTAGGTGAAATTCAAAATGGCAGTGTTCCTGAGTGCTTTCTGTTTGAATTCAGTGTCAGATTTGGTTAAAATTAAATTTATTTTTCTCTCCAGTAAACTACCTGTCATTATGGCCCCCAAAAAATGTGTTCTTTAACATGCATGTGGGCCATACAGCACACGGAACCACTGGCTTAAACGTCTCTTCCAAAAGATGGTGCGCTTTCGTCATTATACTTGTACTTCAGCCCTGTAGCCGAAACACAAGGAGAGGGTGGATGGAATTGAACCGGGTACCGAAGGTTAACAATGGATCTCCATGGTTCAGTGCATACTCGGACTTGGCTACCATCACTAAGCCAACTATGCTACTCTCATATGAAAGGAACAAACGCCCTCTAAAAAAACAGAATTTGATAGAAAGGATAATATTTGCAGCATGTGGTCTTTTTGTTTTTTTTTTTAATGAAAGGAAACAAGATGAATAACATTAATGTGGTCTATACACCATGGGCAAATTTGAAGAAGACAGGAGAGATGGATGTTGGACAAATAGGCTTTCATAAAGGAAAGGAGGTAACACAATTAAGTAATTATTTAATTTAAATAAAGTTACACATTATCACCCAAAACATATAGTTCATACCCTCTATACTAAATAGACCGCATTAGTCACCAACACTATTGGATGCTCCAGTCAGAACCATCTTGAGAGGTTCCTGTGTTTACATAGTACTGTGTAGAAAGAAAATATGCTTTAGTAATTTAAGTCACCAAAACTTACTTTCTGTAAATTTCATGCGAGTAACATGTAAAGCTGTTTTTGAATGTTCCTAAATATATCCTCAACTTTTTTTCTATTTTTTTTTTTTTTTGTTAATTGTGTATTCCAAAAATGACATTAATTGCTGCAGTCTGGGTTTATTATTGTATTTACACCCAACAGCCAATTATTTGCTGGCATAATTGATTAATAACTGAAGATACAAATTGTAAAAAAGTTTATTATTTCATTTATCTTTGTGCAAATATCTTCTATAAAATTCAAATTTCAAATTACTGTATTATTTCATCAGTGTATACTTCATCAGTAACGCGCTCTGCAATAAAACTCAAATTCTAATTGTTCTATTGCATGGATACTATTAGTCGGACAAGTTTAGCAGATATTAATTACAGTACATATACTGTACAGAAAATAGTTCCTTCCTCTTGATGAAGAGTATGAGAAGTTAAATTCTTACCACTTCCAAAATAAGATTATTTACCAAAGCCATTATGATACATGGCTTCTTCTGAAGTTGGTGAGGTATTTCAAGATAAGTTGCAGGAACAGACATTTATAAATCATAGCAATGATTATTTTATTTCAGGTTAAATCTGTAAAAGTAGACAAGAGAAAAAATGAAATTGTCAATCGACTTAACAAAACCAAAGAAGAAAAATCTCCAGATCTTAGAGCAGAAAGAGAACAACGTGACCAAGAAGAGAGGAAAGAAAATAGGCAAAGACTACAACAGCAAAGAGAACTTGAAAAATTAGAAGTTGCAAGACGGAAAGAGGAAGCAGAGTTACGGTAAATATAAAAGACTTACGGTCTGAAGACATATTCCATTGGAAAACTTTTGTCCCATGATTTGTTTTTTATATTTATGAAAATTTGGCAAACATAATAATACTGTATAATAATATAGGGATTCATACCACACCTTTTGACAGGGAATACAAGGTGCTGGCAATGTTGTTTTTATTACGCCTGGTCATTGGATCTATAATCAAACCTGCACAATGTGCAACATCCTCCCCTCCCTGGGGAATATCCCTACGTGTCCTTGCAATTTAATGCTGATACAGCAGTAGTCTAGGGATGGGTAGTGCAAAGCACAGGGGCCTAGGACTTAGGGGTCCATTCATAAATAAGCCTAAAAATAATAATTTAAAAGAATTTCCAACTTTATAAGAAAAAAAAAATGACCAGTGGGCCACTCAATGTTATATAGGTTTTTAGAAGAGTAATTATTCAGGATTCAAAGGGGCCCCAGCTGGCCCAGGCTACCTAAATTTTTTCAAAATTATAAAAAAAAATAGAGATGCTATGTTCAATAGAACATGAACCCAGTCATTTATTAAGAAATAACCACTGTGACTTTTAAGCTCAACCTGTGTGAACACCCCATGTTTGGTTGGAGTCTGTCTAATGCAATTGGTCCATTCATTAGTCACTAGAAATCATAATGAAAATTCTTCCTCTATTTGCGACAAAAGCTCATTCAGATAAATTTGACCTACATCTTATGCACAAACGCACTAACCGCAGAAAACTCAAAAATCGTAGCTGCTATTGGCCTTAAGCGTGTGACGTCATTCATAGACAGGGTAAAAACAATTCTGAATACAAAATTTTAAAGAAAAGAATGATCAATGGTTATTTAAGCAACCAGCATATGACTTACATCGTAAAAGAAAGCTTAATTTATGAGCTACAATTGACCGTTCACCCCGAAGTTTAGCGACCTGCCGTTGCAGAGTTATGGTAAATAGAAGCAGGAAGACCAAAAAATAAAACACTCTAATTTTAACCTTTTTCCTATGCAAAGCATAAGAGATAGTCAACTTTGAAAGAAAAATGATCACTCAATTTTGGATTAGTTGTAAAAATATGTAGACGATTATGAAGCTTAAAACATCTAGTTTCATAATCCAATCACCCCTGATTGCCAAATTGAACCATTCAAATTATATAGTCGATTTTGTGAGAAAAGGGACTTTTACTGTGTTAAAGTGTGCAGTGAACTGTTCAGTGAGCAGATATCCTCAAGGTTTTATTATGATTTGATAGTGACCCTTGTTACATTTGACCTATAGGTGAAGAGTCGTTTTTCATGTTTAGAAGGTCCTAAGGATCATTCCTGGTAAATTCGAGCTCAATTGGACTTTTTTTGAAAATTTGACCCTGATGACCCCTATGTAACCCTGATCCCAGACTGAGGTGTAGGAGGTGTCGCTGGTTCTTAATGACGAAATTTGATTGAATTTTGTCCAATGGTTTGGTATTAGTAGCATTTTGAAATGTTACTAGAGAGAACAAAAAAATTAACCCTTTAATGACCTTTGACCGTAAATCTCTGAACACCATAGAGACCCTAACTTATGCCAACACATATGTGCCATAATAATAGATTTTCTTAAAAGTTCAAGTTCAAAAGTACATTTATTCATAATGATAACATAGTACAGATACATAAATTATACACACTGCAAGTAAACAGAACTGAAATAAAATAAATAATAGTGAGTCCATTATTGAGGTGAAGCTTCTCACCCTGATCCCATAGCAGCCCAAACCATAGCTGTGGCAGTCTAGCCCCTTCATCATCACCAAATTGTTCATGTCATGAATTTTCTGAAATTGTGAATCAGTATACTTAGTCCTACAATTTTCGTTCTTTAAATTTAAAGCGCAGCTTCTGAAAATTTAAAATGGAGCTTTCAGGGATTCCTCTACCCACATTGGAAATTGATGGCAACTAATACATTCAATGCCACATCATCCTACTAGGTACCCTTTTATATTTCTGGGTGGGAAGAGACAAATACAGGTAAAGTTACTTGCCCAAGGACACAAGTGAAATGCAAAGTGAATTTTGAACCTCTGACCTTAAGGTTGAGAGAAAGAAACTGCTGCGTTAACTGTTACCATGAAAGATTATGAAAAAAGTTGTGACCCAAGATGTCTGTAACATATTTTTGGTTGTAAGAAACAGTGGCTGGAGGACAGATAGCCACATAGGCATTGTGGCTAATAATTAGCCTTCCCCTTACCTGAAAATAATCTATTAACATACAGAATATAAATAGCCGGGAAATACAACTACAACAATGTGTTCTTACAACTAAAATATGTTACAGATGCCTTAACATTTCCATTACATTTCAAGACATGTAAAGTTGATAAATTTGTGATCACTGTAAACGAGTAATTAAACAAGTATTATTATTATTAAATTCATCTGTTCCTATCAGTGTCATGTAATGTTGTTCAACTTTCATTTATGATTGAACCAAAATAATATTAACATTTACCTGGATGTTTTGATCTCAATCACCAATCTGTTGACTGCTCTGCTCCTGTTGTGTTCAGTAATTTGTTATAAATTTTTGAAGAGTTCATAAGAACCTTCTCTCTTTTAATGTTGTTGATTTTGTTTATTCATATGGATTTGCGAATTTCCCTCCATTGCCATAGCAGCATAACATTATTATTCTCATACTACAACATTAAATGCCTTTACTACAGCTTCTTCCAAAGGTGTTTGAAACACTATTTTAAAAGAATTTTTTTCAACAGTCCATGGTTCTTTACGGGTTAAAACTGATGGTGCTTGTGAATATTTCAATAAACATGCAGACTCAATTTTTATAAGTTAATACAGTAGAACATACATCAGATTTAAATCATTGAAGACAAAATATGATTCAGGCTAATATAATAAGACACAGTTGACTCTACACCAAAAGGTTAAGGGTCATGATGCTAAATTGTTTTTTGCCAAAAAGACTATACCCGATCAAACTATTGTGTCATCAAAAACAATTTTAAGAATAAAAAAAATGTAATCAACAAGAACAGAGCATTGATTCTTCCTTATGGAGTTTTAAGGCACCAATCTTTATTTTAACTGTGTTAGCTTTGCTGGCTATAGCTCGACCCCAACCTTAAGATTAAACATTGCAGTGTGCCCGCACTAATCATCAGGAAAATATCGAGTGTAACTGCTGTACATGCTAAATACCAAATGGCTTTTTATAAATGAATTAACTACTGTTTGAAGTTGTAGTTGCATTTGTGGGCTATATAAAATCTCTTCATTCTAAATATTTTTTTAATATCTATCTCACTATCTCACTACTGCAACATTTTGTGATTTAGCTATGATGTCGTATTACACCCATAATGATATGCAAGTCACAGGTTTTTGTCGCGCAAGTGGACCGGACAGAACAGTGATACTGCCTGATGTAGATAATTTGTAGTAGCTGTTGCACTACCCATCTCTCCCTGAATAATCTGTGTACACTGCTTCACATCATTTATAAATAAATTGCTATATAAAAACCAACAATGTTTTTCCATCTTACCGCAATAGAGTGTTTATTCTCTTCAGTCGTGTTTGATAAACTGTATACAGTTCGCTCTAGCCATTGTCGATCAGCAAGTTGTATTATTAAAATCATTTTGACTGCACTGTATGTGTACTATGACATCATATTGATTGCATCACATATAAGACGTGCTCAACTGAACTTCAACAAAAGAACATATTTTGATTGCTTTTGTTGAAATAACTATAGATTGAGCAATGCTTATTTGCACATTATTGTGTACCAAAATCAATTCAAATTCATGACTTAAAAGGATATGGGTTTTTCCAGGGGTAGTATTGGCTGTCTAGTTGTTTAACCCCATATTCATCCTAATATACTATTGAAAACGTACACTCTGAGACTGCAGTGATGCATTTTGGGTCCTTCCAGGTTCAGTGGCTGCTTAATTATTTAACCCCATATTCGTCCTAATATACTGTTGAAAATGTAAACAATCGGAGACTGCAGTGATGAATTTAGGGTTTTTTCAGGTTCAGTAGTTGTCTAGTTATTTAACCCCATATTCATCCTAATATACTGTTGGAAATGTAAACACTCAGTGACTGCAGTGATGCATTTTGGGTCTTTCCTGCTTCAGTAGCTGTTTAATTATTTAACCCCATATTCATCCTAATATTCTTCTGAATACAAACATTCTGAGACTGCAGTGATGCATTTTGGGTTTTTCAAGGTTCAGTGGCTGTTTAATTATTTAACCCCATATTCATTCTAATACTGTTGAAAACTTAAAAACACTCTGTGACTGCAGTGATGCATTTTGTGTCTTTCCTGCTTCAGTGGCTGCTTAATTATTTAACCCCATATTCGTCCTAATATACTGTTGAAAATGTAAACAATCGGAGACTGCAGTGATGAATTTTGGGTTTTTTCAGGTTCAGTAGTTGTCTAATTGTTTAACCCCATATTCATCCTAATATACTGTTGGAAACGCAAACACTCTGAGATTGTAATGATGCATTTTGGGTTTTTCCAGGTTCAGTGGATGTCTAATTATTCAACCTCATATTCATCCTACGGTATATATACTGTTGGAAACGCAAACATTCTGATACTGTAATGATGCATTTTTCCAGAAGCAGTTGCTGTCTAATTACTTAACCCCATATTCATCCTAATATGCTGTTGAAAATGTAAAGAGTTTGAGACTGTAGTGATGCATTTTGGGGTTTTCCAGGTTCAGTGGCTGTCTAAATATTTAACCCCATATTCATCCTAATATTCTGCTGAAACGTAAACATTCTGAGAATGCAGTAATGAATTTTAGGTTCTTTCCAGGTTCAGTGGCTGTTTAATTATTTAACCCCTTACATGTTCTAATATACTGTTGAAAATGTAAACATTTTGAGATTGCAGTTTTGCATTTTAGGTTTTTCAGGTTCAGTGGCTGTCTAATTATTTAACCCCATATTCATCCTATATATACTGTTGGAAACAAAAACATTCAGAGACTGCAGTGATGCATTTTAGGTTTTTCCAGGTTCAGTGGTTGTTTAATTATTTAACCCATCCTAATATACAGTACTGAAAGAAGTAAACATTCAGAGACTGCAGTGAGACTGGATTTTTGTAAATTCCCTTAAAACAAATACAGATTTTATATTACATATTTTTTAATAGAGGGTGACTCTTCCAGCGAATCCTAGGAGGTCGTGGATATTCAAGGGTCCTCTTAAACAAATGAACATACATGATGCTTTTATCAGCTTAGGGAGTGGATTTGTTTATAGTCATTTAACCCATGACCCTGGGATTAGAAGGCAAGCATCCTAACCACTAAGCTACTCTATTCTTCAACTCCACTCCGTATACAGTATCTTGCTCGATATATTACTTTTGTACTTGCATTGTCCCATGAGACTGAAACAAGGGATAAAACGGATATTAAAACTTCTTAAAATAAATACATAGATTTAACTTCAAACAGTTTTGTTATAAATTTTCTTTCTACAAAATAAAACTAATTATGATATTCATTTCATTTATTTGTGTCCAAAAATAAAAACAGCAAGGAACAACCACAAAATAACATGAGACAGGACACCCCAAAAGTAAATTTAATCACTGTCGAGTGGAGGACCTTTGACAAAAAAAAAAACAAAAGCAGACAATACAAAATTCCAAATAGATAAAAGATCAATAAAAAGAGCATAATTTAAAAGGCATTTTAAATATTCATTAAAAAAATTATCTTAGATATGACAACCTTTATTGCAATTTTCCTCCAGATTCAAATTAAAGTTTATAATACACATTATTAAACATTACACAAAACAGAAATTGTATCAAAAATGTGGTTTTGAGGTGCATTTTTTTTTATTGTATCTGAAGTCTGCAAGCCCCATTCATTTATTTATATAATTATTTACAATACTTATTTAATTGATAATTTATACAATGCAAAATTTGCAGTACTTATAAACAATTTTAGTAAAAACATTTAAAATATTTAATATATTCTTGCAAAATGACATTTTTAATCTTTGAAAAATAAATTAGATATATTTAATTATTAATTTAGCCCTGTGGTTACCATTTTATCAATGTATGGGTTTTTTGATGGCTGGCATCAAAATTAAGAAACAAATAAATCCAACTAAATTAACTAAAGCACATTAAAAAAAAAATTTATCATCAGTAATTAAAGAAAGCAGGACCTAAAATGTACACATAAAATTACAAGCTGTAACATATTATGCAGTTGTGATACAGAGTGGTCTATGTACTTTACATTGGATACTCAGGTGATACATAGATAAATATTACAGGAAATTATCAGTGGCGGATCCAGGAACATGAAATAGAGGGGGTCCCCAGAGAGAGAGACTTTCACAAATGCAAAGTCTATACCACCTCAGCCCCACTATAATTGGGGCTGAGGAAAGAAATTTATGATTCGGAATTGGCCTCTTAATTGAGAACTTTTTTCTCCATTTTAAAAATTTTATTTGGAAAAATTTAGGGGAAACCGGGCGGGCTGGGCCCCTCTTGAATCTGCCATTGATTATACAAGGAATACAAGTAGATGGTAATGTTTTAAAATGAATGGTCTTTAGATCCATATAATTGGCAACAGGCACAAGATACAGCAGCAACCTTCACTCACTAAAAAGTACACCTAGACCGAGTGCGGACACAAGCAAAAATGTAGCGCGAGAGGTTTGAACCCCGACCTGTAAAATAGTTAGCACCCAGTCCACTAAGTTGGTAAAGATTGTGATGTGATTCTCAAAGTTATAAAGATAAATAATTTGGTGTTCCACATACAGTATAACATTCAACAAGTTTGAAAAGGGCTCTTAGCTCAGGCAGCATCCTTTAAGGATGAGACGTTTAAGCTGTTAGTCCTTTGTACAATATGGCCATTTGCAGTACACTCTTCAGAGAGATTAGGGGATTGTCTTCTCGTGTATTGCCCAATCATCACCAGAAGAACCCCCACTGGAAATGAGTATTTTATCGGTTATCCAATCCAACCCGATGGCTGTTTTGTTAATTAAATTTAAACAAAATTATTCAATTAAAAAATTTAATATATTGTCAAGCACTACGTAACTGAATAGACTAGATTTGTAACCAAAAAGAGATGTCTTGAGCTTTGTCTAAAGATAAAAATTGAATATAAAAATAGCAATTAAAAATTCAAAACCAATCACAGCTTTCAGATTTATGCGGCACTCATTTTTCTAACAGTGGCACATATTAAATAGTGCTGCATCCTGACTTATAGAGTAAAATAATGTAAAATTGAAACAACAATTTAAAACTAATTTTAAACTATGAAACATCATGCTAACATTGATGAACAAGAAATAGCTACACAAATAGCATAAAAATTAAGGAACTGGACAGATTCCCTATAGGCTAAATACAAGCAAGATTGCGTATACCTGTGAACTCACAAATAATGGAAAAAAGAAAAGAAAAATACAATTCTAACAGCAAGAATATTTACGGTAGGTGTGATGTTTTGACCTACTTGACGTGTAATCATACCGAATACTTGGTATGTTCCCAAATACTTGCGAAAAAAGTTGCAAGTGATTCAGGAGGGAATCAAACCCCAACCTCTAGATAACTAGCCTGGTGCCATAACCACTAGACTACCGAACTTGTGCTTAGTGACTAGTCTTGAATCCAATCTCCAATTAGCAGTGGGTACTGCAAATGCTATTTCGATGCGAGTTTGCATCAGGAAAATATCATATTAGACTTGCCACAAGTCTCTAATTTATGGATTTTTCGTAGTACATTAGCGCATTTCGGAAAGTGCCACCAGCGGCAGTTTATGTTGAGAAACTTTTTTGATGAGAATTAGAAAAAAAAAGAATCCCAGAAAAAGTATACTATGGAACGCCATGCAAATAAGTAATATGGAACGCCATTTGTGCCAAAATCGATTTATTCTTAAGCATTTCAACTGATAAGACAGATTAGGGACTGGAACCCAGTCTAATATCATAGGAGCACTGATCTCTACTATAAGAGTTGGATTGCTCATCGGTCAATCATTATGCAGAAAAAAGTGAAGCCACCGACGCCATGTTGGGGGCCCAAGTGAAGTACCAGTTTAGACAAGTTTCTTTTGACATTTGTTTAAAATATTATTAAACGATTCTTGCAATACTTTTTAATAATAAATTTAAACTTAACATAAGGATTTTTTTTTTTCAAATCATCTAAGCGCCTGTTTATGCAGTTTACAAAAGCGTGAACAAAGTCACATTGTTTTAGTGACGTCAATCACCAACAATGCAACTTCGTTTGCACTTTTTGAAACTGCACAAACAAGCGCATTAGCGGTACTGTAGTGAAAAAAACATTCCATAAAATTTAATTTTTTTATTAGTATGTATTACAAAACGCTTCATAATTCCTTGCCATTTTACCTTAAGGAACTCATTCAGCTCCGGTCAACATAATGCAGTAGAACACTTAGATTTACGTCAAGCTCTACGACACTTTCACCCTCTTGGAGCCGCACTAAATACGGAGAGAGGTGTTTCCGGGTTGCAGCTCCTAAACTTTGGAACGCACTTCCCAGTACCATTCGAGAATCAACCTCCCTTGCGGTATTTAAACTAACACACCTTTTTCAAACCTTGTAATTTTTTATTTTGTTTTTTCATATTTTTGTTACGTGTTTCGTATTTAGTTACCCAACACCATTAGAGCATCTGTGAGTTGTGATCTTGCCAACTGCTGCTTAATTGCCAGTGGTCTCAAATTGCAGGAAAACGATCGCAATGGTGTTGGCTCTTCTGCAATAGTGTCTCTTCTAACTTTTAGTTTCTGTGTAGCCTAGGATAGCTTTGTTTTTTCTTGTTTTTCCTTGTTTTGCACATAGAGACCATGTACTTTGCGCTATATAAGTCGCCAACCATTACCATTACCATTATTGCAAGAATGGTTTCTTTTAACACTAATTTAAACAAATGACTTGACTAGACTGTTATGTAACTTTAGTATTTGAAAATGGCGCCAGTGACTAAAAATTAAAACTATTAATGAGCAATCCAGCTATTATAGTAGAGGTCAGTGCATAGGAGTGATGTTTTGGCCTCCCTGACATTTAACCTACCTAACATGTCAGGTACGTCAAGACACTCCTGTGACATTTTCCTGACGCAAACTCACATCGAAGTAATATTTATGGTGTCAGATTATTTTTATAAAGTAGATGTAGTGGTTTGTATTTCTCTATTTTTTCAATAGAAACTCCAACATTTTGTAATATTAATGTCAGATTTTTCCAGTCCATATCAAACTCTTTTTTTGACATCCTTGCATTGGCTCTGTGTGCAAGCTTTGTATTTGCATACCGATGTATATGAACTAAGTTAGCAAGTTTGTCAATGTAATCTTCATCTGGTTCTGACCAAAAAGAGTCTGGAAGTTGATTGCAGTGGCGAATGATTTTCATCATGATAGGAATATCAAAAGATCTAATGTCTGCTTTTTTTGAAAACATTTTTTTCTTTTGTTCTGGAAGAAGTTTTGCTTTCATCAAGTTATCCTTTTCATCCATCAAAAACTGTCCAACGTCTTTCTCTTGTATATTATTAACTTGAAGAACATAATTCCTCAATGCTTCGGTACCAAGTTCCAAAACAAGCGACATAACTGCTTGAAAGTTTTGAATTTCCTCAAAGTAAACTGTATTCAAGCCTGTTTGAAATTAAAAGAAAAGACTTAAATACCTTATTTCTAAACATTAAAAAACTATTTATAAAATATTATAAAATCCAATAAAATTTATAAGAATTCAATTTAGAAATTTTATTTACCTGCATCAATATCTGTGAGAGGAACACCAAGATTAAATAAGACTTCTTTGATTCCATTCCACTCTTCTTCAAATTTGTTGGTTGATAACCTTTGCTTTATGTTCTCATCCAATGTGTTTTTATACTGCATAATGCGAATAAGATTTGAAATGACTGGATTATATAACTGGATTCGATCTGGTTGTTCCCAATCTTCATCAAGATATGTGAATCCACAGCAATATCGGATCAATGTCATAATGATTGAAATGTCAAAAGTAATGAATTCAGCATCTGGTGAGTAAATCTTATGTCTTAGTTTTAAATCTTTCATTTGTTTAAAGCTTCCCTTTTCTCTCTCATTCTTCAGGAATGCTTTGAAGAAGAATTCCGTCATTTTCTTGGTTCCAAGTTTGATGACCAGTGACTTAATAATCTTGAAATTCTCTGTTTCATCAAATTTTAGTTTTGGATCTATGAATTAATGATAATGCTTCATATTAGAGTATTGCTGTTTTTAAAGTAATTCTATGTATATTTTTAGAGTATTTTTCAAAATGCTCCAGACACAGATAGTATACTGTATATGTAAACATTTTCTACTACTAAATGCAAGAGTAAGAATAATTACCAGTTGATTCTGCAGTTGTGCCACTTTCACTGCTACAACCAGAGCTAGATTTATCTGCAATGCAAAATACAGTATGATTTGTTATTTAAACCTTTGATTTCTAAAAGACAATAATATCAAAAAATGATACATTTCACCAATGGGTTACGAATTTATATATTTCATGTGTTGTCCAATAATTACCAAAAACAGATAATGTATTTATTTGAATAGACAACCCGCTTTGAATAAACGCTCTCTCGTATAAATGCCCCCATTAGAGTCTCATTTGGAATAACCCCCTTCCTAAAATAACTGCCCCGAGGCATTTATTTTTTCCTTGAATAAATGTCCCCTGAATGAAAATATATCTAATGGAAGCAACATCATTCTTAACACTCTCTATTAATGTTTTTACTCCAGTAGAATCATGTAATAACACACTGTGATGGAAAATATGTGTTGTACTTTAACATTTACAGTGAAATTAAGGGGCGTTTATTTAAGTATATACATATCCATTTTACACTAAATTACATTAAATGCACCCTCAAAAACCCTTCTCAACAATAAACGCCCTAGGGCTATTCAAATAAATATGGTAAGTTTGTTGGAAGAGATGAACAATTTTCATAGCCTCAAATATAATGAAAGAATAATAATAATAATAATAATTTGCGATTTGTATAGCGCCTCCCGTTAGACCAACCTCGAGGCGCTTCACAACAATGGAAGGAAACGGACAAGAGAATAAAAAAACCATGAACCTAGACTAACAAAGAAAAAAGAAAACGCCTAAACGAACCAAACCAACACTGCACCGTTTATCGGCAATTTAAGGCGTAAAGCCCGCCGATGCATGACTCACAGGTGCTCAAGTGGAATAATAAAGTTATCATATCTTATCTTATCTTTGGAAGCTGTTTTCTCAAAACCTACATGGCTGATATCCAATGAATTAAATATTCATAACTTCGCAAAGAATCATTAACTACCACTTCTAAATTGTGCTTTTGTTATTCCACAATATAAATGTGCAGCTTGTTCTTGCTCTTTCTATTTTTTTTTTGTTCTTGGGTCGTTCGTTGTATGTATACTTTGTTTTTATAGCATATAAACTTTATTGCAATCTCTACAGAATCTTGATTAAGATTAGATAAATACATTTGAAATACATAATTTGAAATACAATATCAAAAAAATTAGAGCATCAATGATGCTGTAGCCCACTCGACAATTGTGTTGTTTAAGCATTGTCGGTGGTGGGAGTTGGTGTGCTTGTGGGGTGTGTCATTACGGTATCCGACCAGTTGGTCAAAATCTAAAAAAAAACAACAAGTAATTGAAATCCAATTAAGATAACCTAGAAAAACTAAAACTTTCCATATGCCTATGCCACAAACATCCATAACGTTCAAGAATCAGAATTTTAAACTTTTTCAGGTGTTTGCATTTTATAAAAGAAGATATATTGAAAAACATTTCTGCAAAATATCAATCAATAAATTTAACTGATTAGTACATTAAAATTATTTTTAAAATAAAAATCTTAATAATAAACTATTAATTTCGGAATAACGATGAAAGCGGTTGCAATTGTAGTGATAATGATAATAATAATAAATAATAATAATAATAATGATAATTATTTTAATGGTAGTAACATTGATAATGATAATAATAATAACAACAAACACTTTATTAATAATATTGATGATAATAACTTTACTTGTACTGAACCTTTTCATGTATATTTTTACATCTTTTTTGTCTTTGTAATGACAAGAAAAGTGTTTCCCTTAGTGGAATAATAAAGTTATCATATCTTATCTTATCTTTGGAAGCTGTTTTCTCAAAACCTACATGGCTGATATCCAATGAATTAAATATTCATAACTTCGCTATAGTACTCAACCAATTACCATAAAAACCCACTGTTTTAAACCGATTCTAACAATACTAATACTCAATTTTGAATTTTTCAAACAAACAGCTGGTTTGGTAGAGTGGGTCACATATTTTCAGGATTTTTTTTTTTTAATTTCACCACATATATAGTATATAAAAACATTTCCTACTAAACTGCTAAGTGAAAGAATTTAATCACCTTCTGGTTTTGTTGATTCTGAGGTCATGTCAGTTCCAGTGCTATAACCAGAGGTATTGCTTGATAGAGATGTTTCTGAGCCACTCCTCTTCATATCCTGATCTTCGGGATTGTATGAACTGTCACTGTAGGTTTTCATAGATTTATCTGCAATGCAGAATACAGTATGATGTTATTTAAACAACTAGGGGTCATAAGGTTGCGATGCAGCAGATCTTATGCATAGAAAGCAAATTTTCTCTTATTATATTATTGAAAAATGTAATTCATTCCTAGTGAGATAGTTAGTGTTTTGACAGATAATGAATTGTAGTCCAAACTGGAAAAACACCTTAACCTTCACTCTGCAAGTTTGAAGCCCTCTGCAGCAACCAATGATTGGTTAGAAAATGGTCAAAGAAGCGAAAGCTTAAAAGAATCAAGTAAACTTTTCTCCACAACAGGAACAAACTTTTAATTAATAAAAAAAAAAATGCACTGATTTGAAATTCAGACATACTGTAGCTACGATATTGCAGTTTTTTGGAATTTTTCTCCTTTTAAAACAATTTTTCTAGCCTAATTTAAAAGTACTATAATATGTACAGTACTTAAAGTAAACAATTTGCACCCACCATAGGTTTCTTCCAACTTTTCAACAAACTGTTTTTCCCATCCATTGGCCACAGTAAACAATTTGAAATCAGGAGGTACAAAAGCATCAAATGATATTTTCACTGGTATCAACTTAGCATGATGAAGTGTATTTTCCTCCAGCATTTCTTTAACAACATTTGCAGCAGAATTTGAATGGAGAGTCACTGATTGTGTTGAAAATCCTAGAATTACTTTCTTGCTTTTCTCTATCTTTGTAATTAAATTGTCTTTGTTGAGTTTACTCAAATCTTGCTTGCTGGTGCACTTGATATCTGGTATCCTTTCCTGCAATTTTTCCATCAGATTATTCTCCCATTCTGAGTTGTCACTTATAAAACAGAAGTCATACATGTCATTCTGAACTGCAAAAGAAAATAATCCATTTAAATGTTCTTTGTGTTCCATTTATGTAAATTTAAACAGTAATAATTCTTCCATTTTATTCATTTTGATTTTATATATTGGTATACCTGACAGCAATTTAGGTAGCTGAAGGTGGTGGGATTGTATGATAGATGTTTTTTCCATGTTTTATTTCATTTTCAATATAAACCATAAATCCTTAATCATGAACCATACAGGAAAACAGTCTATGCAATTTATAGCTCATCCAATATAAACAGCAAACAATTATACAATTACTATGTTCAGCTACACACATTATTATGTACAGGACTAGATAAATAAATAATATGGTAAACTAACATAGAAAGTATTTAATACAAAACAAGTATTTAATACCTTCCTTTGAGTCTTTCACATCCATCTCTGTTAAGTTGTCAATGGATGCATCTGTGTTTCCTTCACTAACTTCCACCTGAGGTTCTATATTCAAAATAACAATATTAAAAACTACAGGTGGGTGGGGGGTGTCCTGACGAGGGGTGGGTGGGGGGGGGGTGTCCTGACGAGGGGGAAGACTTTCCACAGGAGAGCAAAGTGGGCGTGGTCAAGCGTCACTTAAAATGTGTTAAATGTAGCCCAGGGGCTAAAAATTTTTGACAATTTAGGGGTTTTTTAATCGATTTTAGGGTCTACTAATATGTACGAAATAATTTTTTTTCTCCCTGATGAATTGTGGTTTTTTCTCCCTTATAGGGGGCCCAGCTCTCCTTGATGGCGGCCCTGTCCTCCCTCCCCAGCCCTCCACCGGTACCACATCTACCGTGAGGTCGGGTATGAAACCTTTGTTGTGCAAGTCGCTTGTGTCCTTGGGCAAGGCACTTTATCCATGTTGTCTCAGAAGTTTGCAAATTGCGCTAATATATTTCATGCAGCAAATTTTGGAATTTCCCCTATAGGCATTATTCCAATAACTGGGGTATAATGTTGAAAACACTCCAATTCCAAGACTTAAGTGTAGAGTGCTATATAAAAACGTACATATTATTACATAGATTGGTTAGGTTTTATATTGGCATATTTATTACATTATGCATGTATGTTTGTTGTCTATGTTTCTGTCAAGATGATCAGTCAGTGGCATTCTAGAATATTCGACACAGAGTAGCTGAATGGTGGGAAAAAAATAATTTTGAGTGGGGCTCAGGATCATGTAGTTAAATGGCAAAAAAAGTGAAATGAGGTTAAATACTTTAATGTATTTTTTGCTCAGTGAATTTCCTGTGGGGTTGCCTGAGAGAGGGGCGCAAGAATTTTGGTAGGCATTCGCTCCTCTGTAGATACACCACTGTGATCAGTCAGTAAGAGCCATTTGATAATGCTTGTGCTCTTGGAAAGTAATCTACATTGAAATGAAATAAAATAAATTGATTATGTAGTGCTGCATGCATCACAAATAATCTGTCTTTGCTCAAGATCCATAATCAAACACCAGCTGTCGTCATATTCTTTTCCTGGACTGTTATACCATCTACTAATGATTTCTACATCATCTGGTACCAGTACCTTTCCTAGCTTCATCAGTTTTTGTTGATAAGCTTTAAATTTTGAAGTTTTTTAGATTTGGGGATGACGGTATATGAACTCTAATATCTTTTGCCAATTTAAAATGTTCAGTAATCTTTATGGTAATATAAAAAATGAGATCTGTTGAACTCAGATCATCACAAGAGTTTAAGAGATGCAGCAATTCTATTGTTTTGGAAGCTTTATATGAATTACATCTAGTTTCTATACGGTCACTGTACAGAACTTTCAACCTGTTGATACATTTTTGATTGTCATAAAAGTCTGAAACAACAACAGTTCCTTGAAAGCATCTTCAGATATTCCTAGGACGCAAAAAAAAATTGACTCAATACATATAGGAAAATAATATATTTAAAATAGACATAAGACTTATATGAATGCCACAACCCCTGAACTTTAACCACTTGATGACTTACTAGAATAGATTCAATCAAAAACTTTGTATAGGTATTATTGCATCAAAAGTGAAAATGGAAGTAGCACAAACATTGCACATTGGCTTGATTATGAGGTGACCAGGGACAGACAGTTTATGTGTCTATGCCCCCTCGGTTATCATCTGACAATTACAGATGGCGCAAAGGTGGAGGTGCATGATGGGTCATTACAAAAGTCTAAAAAAAAAAAATACAACACCAAACATTTCCTGAAAACCGAATCCCATGTGGATACTGTATTAGTAAACATAATGCAGTAAGGCAGTATAGGGCATATACACACGCTCCCACTGGCAGCCTATTTTCAAATTTTGCGTGTGGGTGTGTTCATTTAAAGGAGCAATGGAATTTAGTCAGTTATCCTGCAAGCAAAATAAATGACTCAGTACTTAACCAGAAAAAATATAATGCTCACTGTAGACATTTCAGTTTTGGACAACCTAAAATTCATGAAGCGGACATTCCACTACGGCCCATCGTTTCTTCACGAGGATCACCAACCTACGCTCTCACCAAGTATCTTGCTAGGATAGTGTATCCACTGGTAGGGAACAGTGGTCATCATGTAACCAACTCTCAACACTTTGAGAAGACCATCCAAATGTTTACCTTGAATCTACAGACACTCTTGTTAGCTTCGACATCAAATCACTATTCACAAATGTAAAGGTCAAGGAGGCTTGTCTAATAGCCACACACCTTCTAGAAGAGGATCACACTCTCCAGGAAAGAACTGATCTGAACCCTGAACAGCTTCACAATTTACTTTTACAGTGTGAATCTGTACTAGATTCAAATTGCGCGACCAGTTCTTTGAACAAACAGAAGGCACGGCCATGGGATCGCCTTTATCCCCAGTCATTGCCAACATCTTCCTCAAAGAGTTTGAACAACTAGCGCTTCTTTCAGCTACCAAACAACCAAAACTCTGGCTACAATACGTCGATGACACTATCATTATTTGGCAAACAATACAATTGCTACAGTATGTCCAGTTTCACACATTATGGTGTAAAGGACTAGGTAAATCAATAATATAGTGAACACAATAACATAAATATTCTATTGCAATATAAGTATATAATACCTTCATTGAAGTCTTTCACAGCTATCTCTGTTAATTTGTCAATGGATGCATCTGTGTTTTCTTCCCTAATTTCCATCTCAGGTTCTATATTAAAATTAACAATAATCTAAAACTAGAATGAAGAATACACGTGTAGATTCATACTGATTTATATATAGATTTTATATTTACATATTGCCAACATCTTCCTCGAAGATTTTGAACAACTAGCACTTCTTTCAGCCACCAAACAACCAAACTCTGTCTCCAATACGTCGATGACACTATCATTATTTGGCAAACAATACAATTGCTACAGTATGTCCAGTTTCACATATTATTGTGTAAAGGACTAGGTAAATCAATAATATAGTGAACACACTAACATAAATATTCTGTTAAGTTGTCAATGGATGCATCTGTGTTTTCTTCTCAGGTTCTACATTCAAAATAACAATAATCTTAAAACTAGAATCAAGAATACATGTGTAGATTCATAATTGTATATTGATTTATATATAGATTGTATATTAACATATTAATAATGTACATGTGTGTTTTATCGTCTATGTTTCTGTAAAAATGATCAGTCAGTGGGGTTTCTAAAATGTTTTGACATAAGGGAGCTTGTGGGGGATTAAGTAAATGGCCAAAAAATAATACCTACCACACTTGTCAATTTTTTGTAACAGTTTGTCAACAAAGAATTCTTCCCACACATCACACAGAAATGATTCAAACCCAGGTGGTACCACACCATCTTCTGTTATCTTGAATGGAATGATCTTGTCGTTGTCAAGTGTCTTTGCTTCCAGCATTTCTAAAACAACACTGTGTGCAGCATATTTAGAATAATCAGTCAATGACTTTGGTGAAAATCCAACAATTACGTTCTTGCTTTTTCCTATTGTACGATTAATAGTTTCAGGTTTGCCCAGTCTCCATTTTTTCATGAATGTGTAGTTTAAATCTGGTCTTTTTTGTTTCAATTCCTCCATCAGGGTCGTCTCCCATTCTGGATCATCACTGATGATACAAAAATGATACAGATCACATTGTCCTGAAGAACAAATAAGTATAACAACAAATTAATAGATCATTAAATTAAAATTTTTCATATTTATCAGCATGTTGATACCATATGAATGATCTGTTCAATAATATTATAGTACATTGGATATAATATTTATTTCCAGGACAGGAGTATAAATGCATACTTGGTAGGATGTTGCCTGGCAATGAATGTACTTGTATCTTGCCTTACTGGCAGTAATGTCTATGTTCCCCAAGTGGAGGAAAAGGTTGCAGGCTGTGTCGGGTTTGTCAATTTATGGATCCAGTGACCAGAGGTTATAATGTTACAAGTCTTTAAAGACTTTCTTGTAAGCACTTCAATGATGAGAATTATACAATACCATTTTTGAATTCTAATAATAATTCAAATCATTATTACACCGGAAACTCTCTCACCTTTTGCTTTCAGCTTACTGAGGGCCACTTCATATTCTTCTTTTTCAATATCTGTTGACCATCTATCAACAAATTCAGCTTGAAGTTCAGCTGGTAGTAACAGCTTTGCTAAATCTTGGAGGAGCTCTTTCCTCAAACTAATGTTGTATAGATTTTCCAATGCATTGTGATCCGACACAGAGAGATAAAATATCAAAGATCCGGAGCCTATTCCTTTGACAGTCACCGACATTTTCTTAAAATGCTTTGGAATAGGTGCAAATGTAACAACACATTCAAAAGTACATTCTGCTGTTAGTTTCCCTTTGTTGTCTACAATATTTTCAACTGACACTAGAGGATCTTGAAATGGCTCATCTTCAGATTCATCATTCTGACTCTTGCGCTTGCGATCCATTCTCATGCATATAGCTTAATCAAAAGAAACATGTGTTTATATCAACATCTTTAATTTTAACTCTTTTGAAAGTCACTTGAACAAGTTGCGTAAAGACAATACATCCTATATATTATTATATTATTATTATTATACTAATAGTATTACTATATTAGGCTACAGTATACTGTAGATCTTTATACAAAATAGAAAAATAACTCTGTGACAGACCAGATTTTTAAAGTTATTTTAAATAAGTAACTGAACGGCATGAATTTTACAGACTCTCAATATTTAGTTTCATTTATATTTATCTTTCTTTTACTGGATGTTCAGGCTCATAGAAGGCTTTCCAGTAAAAAAAATATCACGTAGTTTATTCAAACCTTCATAATGAACCAAAAAGTGATATTTTCATTAAAGTAGTGACAATGAGAAAATATGTACAAAACCTACTACTATATATAGATTTTGTCTGGGGTGAAATAGCTCTGAAATCAGAGTTGTACTCATATTAAAAAATACTATGAATAAATGCATTACTTTCATCATGTCTGCCTGCAGGGCTAGAAGGTGCATTTGGAATATCTGTCAATAAAAACAGAAATATAGGTCAAAATGTTTATATTCTGCAATAAAATACACAAAACAATAAGTCAAAGCCTCTACAGTTCTGGATAATATCAACAATATTAAATAATGAATTACATTACAATCATCATTATATGTTTCAGTTGTTCACTGTTAGTCAGCTCTCTGATTGTTTCCATCAATAAATTATTAAAAACTAAAAAATATTAATACAATTTTTAGATTTACAAGCATTTATATATTGGCTTATACACATTTTTTTTTTAAATATTTTATAGTTGGATTTTTTTTGTAAAATTCTCTGAACTGTACTTTTAGGATCCACTTTATGAGCCAACAAGTGCAAATTTATTATTTTACACAATTATAATTCATTATTTAACATATAATTAAATAGATCACTCATAATTAAAATGCATTTTATAGTGAATCTTAAAATTATATGTAATTGTGTGATTTCATTATTTATATTTATATATTCAAGCAATTAGGCAATGAGCTCACTATTCTAATTATATATAATTTAAATTAGGAAAGGACGATCATAATTATTGTAATAATTCAACGATTTTATAAGGAATTTTTTAGGACCTACATTATTATGAAGAACATGTGCAAATTTATTATTTTACACAATTGTTTATAATTCATTATTTAACATATAATTGAATAGATCACGCATAATTATAATGCATTTTATAATGAATTTTGAAATCTAATTATATGTAAATAATTGTGTGATTTCATTATTTATATAATATATTCAAGCAAGTATTCTTTATATGAGTTTACGGTTATATAAAATTTAAATAAGGAAAAGACGACCAACAAATATTTTAATAAGTTCACTGATTTCATGACATAAGTATTAGGAAAGTGTAACTTCCATTATATATAAATAATGAAATAACTAAGAATTATTTACATATAATATATAAATAATGAGTTGACTTCAAACTATATAGTGGCTTGTTACAAACCATTAAAAAATACACTATTATAATGAGTGATCTATTCAATTATGTTAAATAATGACTTATGTAAATATTTGTGTTTAATAGTAAATTTACACTGCGCACCTCATACCTTATTTCAGCATAGTTAGCAGTCAGCATAATTGCAGTATACTGTAAATAAAATAAGACAAATTCTGTACCTTCTGTTAGGCAGTTCACAGCTCGCGGGATTTCAAGTGTTTTCATATCTGTAGTGAATGTCTTCATCTTTTCATCCTTATCACAAATATGTAGTTTGTTCTCAAGAACCATAATCAAACTCCAGTTGTCTTTGTATTCTCCTGAAATATTATACAATCCACAGATACTTTTTCTATCTACCGGTGAGAGTTCGTGTCCCAGCTTTATCAGTTTTTGTCGATGAGCAGTGAATTCTGTAATTACAATCTCTTTTAAATCTGGGCATCGGCATTTTGGTACTTGTTCTTGTATTTCCTCTTTCAAACCAAAATGCTTAGTTACCTTTATGGTGTCATACAGTATTGTGATATTTTTTCGACTCAGACTTCCATATATCTTCAATAAATTAAGCAAATCTAATGCGCTATCAGCTTCACTTAACTCCGACCTACTTATTATATGGTCGCTGTACAGAACTTTCAACATGTTGATATATTTGGAGTTATTGTTGTAAAATTTTGAAAAAACTGACAACAGTTTATTGAAAGAGTCCTTTGAGATTTCTAGAAAATAAACAAATGACTTAATATTATACTATGTAAATCTATAGGACAAAATACTGTATAGGCCAAAATACTGTATAGGCCATGGGCTGGAAGGGCGTCACCGTGCACCCACCCCCCACCCCCCACAGTTAAACTTCTTTGGTATCATTTTGTTCATACGGGGATATAGAACAAAAAAATTGATGTTAACTAGATAAATATATATAGGGATGCATTGTATGTACTTGTGCCATTTATAATGGTCGTTAGTGTTTTATGATCAATACTTTTTTTGGGGTAACATTTATGCCCATAACATGTGAATTAAAAAGCTCATCAATATTATTTTGGTAGCAATGTGTAGCTTATGTTATGTTTGATTTTTGCTGTGTCACCATGTTTTTCTCATGATTTTTGCTGGATGTTTCCCTTTGTAAATTTTTGCTTGTAACCTGTACTACAATTTAGTTTTGCTACAAAGTACATGATGGCCTTTACAACTTATTTTAGTAATCTAGTAAGGAATGATAATTGCAATATAAATGATGATGACAATTATAGTGATGATAATGATAACAATAATAATAATAATGATAATAATAATAATAATAATAATAATAATGGCTGTGATAGTAATAACAATATAATATAATCTCAAAGCAATATTTAGGTCTACTGTGAATGCATTCCTTTTTAAATGTCCTTTACCTTTCATGAATTGTATATTTTTATATTTCTCGATTGTTTTGATTGTATTTTTACCTTGCTGTTTTGTTTGAAGTAAAAATAATGAATGAATGAATGAATGTTTCCTAAATTATAAATAAAATTAATCCGACAATTATTAACGTCAAAATTTTTGCATAAAATATCCATAAACTTCAGTTTCATCTCTAATTTTGGATGTATTTGATACAAATTGTGCTTTTCTTGTACATATTGATATATGGAATACAAAAATTTAAAAAAATTAAAATGCATTATATACTATTAGCATTCCTGTTGCACCCAACTCCTTGAATTCTTTCGGGATATACTTTTGACGACGGCGATCCTGTTGATATTGTATACTAAGATTGCCGTAAAGCCTTTGACATGGTACCTCACGAAGGATTAAAAACTAAATTGAAAGCAGTCAGGTAACATTTTACAGTGAATATCCAACTTTCTCTGTGGTAGACGTCAACGTGTCTCTGTTTAGGGTAACTATCCGGATGGTTACGTGTGACTAGTGGAGTCATCCAAGTCTCGGTAATAGGCCCAGTGCTTTTCCTGATATTTATCAATGACCTGCTTGACTCTATTAGTTCAAACGGGAAGCTATTTGCAGACGCAAAAATATATCGCCGCATATGCACTCTTAATGATGCTCATACACTCCAAGAAGACCTAAATAAATGGAGTAAACAATGGCTTCTCCAGTTCAATAATTAAAATGCAACGTCCTACATATGAGATCATAAAATCCTAACCACACCTACCATCTTGGAGACACTGAACTTTCTTACATGACTGAACAAAAAGACCTAGGGATATCGATTACAACTGACCTCAGATTTAAAAGTCACGTGAATAAGATTGTAGCAAAAGCAAATTATGATTATAAAAGAAATGGAAAGCCCAAAGGCGAGCTAAAAAGTTATAGACCTGTCTCTTTAACACCTGTCATATGTAAAATGGTTGAAAAATTAATTTTTTATCGGATACGAGAACATCTAGATAATAATAGAATTATTTCTGAAAATCATTTTGGTTTTAGACCTATGTATAGTACTGAATTTATTCTGTTTAAAACATTTCATCATTGGACTCAGGATTTAGAATAAAAAAATTGTAAATATATTGATGTAATTTTTCTTCTGCATTTGATAGAGTTCCTCGTAGCAGGTTAATTAAGAAACTGCATAATATAGGCATTAATGGAAATATCAAAGCATGGATTACTGATTTTTTATCAAATAGATGCCAAAGGGTAATTTACAGAGGAGAGAAATCTCAGTGGGTAAATGTAACATCAGGTGTACCCCAGGGATCAGTGTTAGGTCCTCTTTTGTTTCTGATTTATGTCAGTGACATTGTAAATAACATTTCATCCTCTTTGTTTCAATTTGCTGATTACCACACTTTGTCACATCCTATTCATTTAAACAATGATGATATAGTTTTACAAAATGATTTAGACACAATTAATCAATGGTCCATTGTAAATAAGTTACCTTTAAATCCATCCAAGTGTGCAGTGATGTATATAACTAGATGTAAGGATACTAACCAAAGTGATTATTTTATTGGAACAGAAGTTGTTCCTCGTGTAAATAAATTCAAATTTCTTGGTGTTTATGTAAGTTATCATGTCATACACATATTAGAAAGTATAATACATACTCCAAGTATTGAAATACACGCCATCGTGTTGGGATTCAATCCCAACACGATGGCGTGTATTTCAATACTTGGAGTATGTATTATACTTTCTTATCTGAGATTAATCAGTGGACCTTTCGGTTTTTGGAATACACATATTAATTATGTGTGTTGTAAAGCCAGAAAGCTTCTTGGATTTATAATCCGATCCAGTAATGTCTTGGGTTGCTATGTTAAACCTGTATAAAGCTTTACTACTACCGATTATAGTATATTGTGCTTCTATGTAGGCACCAGTTGAAAAAATCACATTTGAACTGAATCGAAAGTATTCACAGAAGAGCGACAAGAATAATAATGTTTTGAAAAGAATGTTTTATCTATTGAAGATGCATTTAAAGTTCACAAACTTGTACTAGGTTTTAAGATTTTAAAAGGGTTTGTCCTCTTCATTTTCTCGTTATGTAAATAGTAGTCAAAGATGTAAGGCTAGACTTATACATTGGAATGCAAAGTCTAATACTTTTCTTAATTCTGTTTATGTTATATTCCCACGAATATGGGAACAATTACCAATAGAAATTCAAAATTATCAATCAATTTCATTATTTAAGTCTGTTCTTAAAAAACATCTTCTTTCAATGTATTAATTAACTAATTTCAATTAAAAGTTTTAGTATTTAGTTAAAATTTGTTATTTCTATTTTGTGTTCTATGGAGCGAGTACATTGATTGTTTGGGCTTTCGCCTATTCTCGCATCCTGGCTAAATTGTTCTTTTATGTCGAATAAATATTATTATTAAGCGTACCTTTACTAGACATGCAAAATGTAAATCAAAACTAATCAGCCAAGCATGATGTGGGCCTGTTCCATTAATGATGGGGGAATCAATTTTCACTGCAGTCCAATGCCATGAACAACGCTTCCCAGTGCGTGTGCTAATTTTTAATGGTCAGGGTACCATGATCACAAGCCCTATGCTAGGCATTATAGGCTAGGCCTATGTGGGCTGGGATTTGCAACAGGGTTTGGGACTAGGCATCTATAGCCTAAACTATTGTAGGAGCCTGGTCCTAGGCTAGGCCTATAATATAGTAAAATGCTGTATAATTAGTCATATGATTACCGGTTTACATTGTACCATGGAGGTATTATCGAGAAGGAGATAACTCGAAAAAGTTACGTGGACGCAGCGCTGTGCAAATGAACCAAGAACAAAGCTGCTGCGCAGCGCGTGAAGTACGTTTGCGCAATGCCTTTGAAGTCTGATGTGTTGCCTGCCACCAAATGCTCACCAGGCTTAGTTTGCCAAAAATGGAGAGCACGTTATTTTCTCAATGCACAGTACTTACAGTCAATCACATTTTTTTTTTTTTTTTTTTTTTTTTATCTTCAAAAGACATGACAAAGATTACAAAGAAAGAAGTACATTACAATATTTAAGTGGTTTTTTTTTTAACATTAAATAAAAGCAAAAAAAAAAATAGTAAAGAAATAATAAAATAGAGACATGAGTCATTCCTTAAAATTGAAAAAAACCACTTTCAAATTTTACAAGTTATTTTCCACAAAATCAAATAGATAGCAGTACAAAATATCCTTTAAATTCACACCTTATAATTTTTTTAAAATAACAAAATCAGAAAACTATTGTAAATAACGGTTATAATTATTGCATTCTCATCATTATTTTTTTAAACACCGTTTTCTCTTGTAAATATCTTTTCTTTCTTTTTTTTTTTAAATCCATGGAAATATATTATTTTAATAATGATGAGATATATGCCAAAAACCAGACAAAATTTTCAGGCAAATAAGTATATTTTTCTCCTTTTGTTGGAAATAAATTCAGAAATAGCTTTTAACAAACAAATTGTTAAAAGAGGCAGCCATGTAGGTTTGAAACCAATTGACAAGCAAATCTCATATAACTTATTTTTTGTTTGGTTTTTAGGCAGCAATATGATTTTTACATGGATTTTCATATTTAATAGCAAATAAGCCAATGGAGACAGAAAGAAAAAAACCAAAAAAAAAAACCCTTTTTTTCCCCTTCTTGCATATCATAAGCCAAAACCATTAGGCCTATATCATATGATTTATACATTCCCATCTCTCCTAAATTTTGTGGAAATACCTAATTTTATTAATAAGTACACCTCTAGTAGGTTTAATCTCCATTATTTTACAAGTAAAAATATAAAACTTGGTAATAAGTATTTCTGGCACACTTTAAACCAAATAACATGAACCAATTATCTAGGTCAATATTGAGCAATGTTTTTACGTATAACCAAATATCTCTAACATACCTACAATCCCATAAAAGATGCAAAATATTTTCTGTATTGCTTTTACAAAAAGTGCATCAAGGCGAAATATCTTCAAACTTTGAAACCATTTCATTTGTTCCCAAAATTCGATGAATACAGTAATTTCATATTGGAAATATTGTAATTTTGAATCGGTGGTGCATTCAAAATGTATTTTATAAGCAAAAACCCAGTCGAAATTAACAGGGAATGTAGTTTGAGTGATTCAGATTCAGAAATCGGTTTCGAGGAATGCTTACTTTTTAACTTACAATAAACAAGGCAAGTAGGTTTTTTGGCAGAAAAGAAGCAATTTATATCTTCGGCTGTATTATCAGAT